TTGACTTGGTTTGGACTAATTACATAGATTGACTTGAATTGGTTTGACTTGGATTGAGCTGGTTTTTACTTCAGCCTCATTTTAAATTACCTAAAATAAGCTCATATGACAAGAAGATATAATCATGTTTGATATAGGCTGAAATTGATTGATTTTTTATTTTTTATGCAATGATATATTTAACCAAAGATGTGAGAGAATAAATTGATTATGAATTCATTATTTTCAAGATTGGGATCTAAAACTTCTTATTTATAAATTAAAAAAATCACTAAATTGTAATACTAAATAGCGCGCGATTAGTTCAATCATGTCTCTCCTTATAATCTCTTCCAAACGAGTTGCACTAACAAACTTATGGAAATTAAGTCTTATTTTACTCAGGCCAAAGCTTTTGCGTCTTCCTTTACTTCTTTGTGTTGGAAAGTAACTCTCTTTTTTGCGTGTAATGAAGAATTACATCTCTATGCACATCTCTACTTAGTCAAAAGGCAACTCCATGTTAAATTTTCAATCCATTCTTCGTTCTTAGGACGATCAATCAAACGCCCATCTGGGTAATTCTACTTTCCGTATGTTTTGTTTCTTATTGCTTCACTTGGATTCCAAAATTAGGTAAAACTAAATTGATTTATTTTCTATAAATAGTAGTTACTATTTCCTGGTGACCCGAAGATATGCTCTTCTGTCCTGATTTGGTAAAATTGGGGCCCACAGCTAGGGTAAGCAGTAGGAAACTTTTGCTTTTGTCCCATCAAACCACGTCCACATCATTTTCCATATTTACGTGTATTATCAAATATGGAAAATTTACCCTCATTTGGAATTGGCCGTCGGTTTTCGTCGTGGTCGTGGTGGGTGTGCGGGTGACCTATCTTTTCACGACAGCCTCTCTCTGTCTCCCCTCGATCCTTCATCTGGAAACATAGGTTGTACATTACGTTTTTTATGTAAGTTGTGTAATTTTATTTTTTAAGTTAATAATTTTTTAACACACATATTCTATTATTTATATAGTAATACATAGTGTACTACTTCGTATACTAATGACACTGAAAAATCTCTTCTCTCTCCACTCGCACTGCACAGACACACAGCACACCCAAATATTTTTTTCTGCTTTTCCCTAATCCATCCCTTTCGGCATATGTGGGAAACCCCCCCTCCACCCCCACCCCTTCAAATGGGCCCCCAATTCCTGGGCTTTTTTTTGTTCAAACTGGGCTTGGATATTCTTAATTCTTTAAGTAGCTGTAACTGGTACTTGTACTAACGATGAGGCCGCGTTTGACCAGCTAGATTGCGACTTTATAATTTAGTCATGCAAATTTAGCTGTCTAATACAGCAATATATTATAAAAGTTTCGAGGGCCTAACTATGTTACAGTTGTTATAACTCATAAGCTACTTGTAAACGTATTCTTTTGCGTAAGAAGTTGTACTACTACGTTACTTATTTGCGTAAAGTACACATAGAAGAACTCTATACATCAGGTTTTCTATAATCCTCCGGAATATTGAATAGTCTTAAATTTTTAACTTAGATATTTGCCAACTTGGCGTTCGATTGCGGGGAAATTTGGAACGAGTGAATAAGGAAGAAGGAGAAGGGGAAAACGTAGTCCTGAAGTTAAGTCCTTAGAGAAAGCAAAACAGGAGTCAATGACTGCAGTTTTTGGTGGATTGGACTGCCACCGACGATGTCTAACAGGTGCCAGTCTAGTTGCTCAACATTTGGCGTACACCAAGGCTTTGCTCAGCATTTGGCATACACCATCGCATGATTTGTTTTCGGACCCATGGTCATTTTGGAGATATGCTTCAATGTTTCCGAAACAGAGGAAAATATTTTTTTATGTCATTATATTAGTAGAGAGCATTTTTTTTTCATTATTTTGGACTTCATTCTAATTAAAATTTTCACGATTTTCTAATTTTCTACCTAGTCGGAGATTCAACCAAATAGGTCATAAAAGAAAAATGTTAGGTTAACTTTATTTTACATCTTTCAAATTTAGAGTAATTTTTAAAATTGATCATGAAGTTTTGATTTTCACATGTTGCACCTTGTGGTATTTGTATCAATTTTTGTCTCCACTTCAATTGATTGTATGATAATTTATTAAATTGATGAATTTGTGAGTGTGAGACTCTTATATAATATATGTTATATGAGATAATGTGTAAGCCATATTTTGCACAATATTGACACAAAACCTCATCAATTTAATGAAGGTTTAGACATTCAAAGAGACAAAGGCGTAATATGCAAATTCAAAACCTCAAGGTGCATTATGAGAATTTAAACCTCATGGCTTATTTTGAAAATCACAGCCGTGCGCATGATTTCTCCTTACCATACAGGAGGATGGAGCGTTAAGAAAGAGAAAGCGTTATCATTATACGAAATGCACTAGCGGCTAGTACGTTAAGATCAACCAATTGGAGAACGCGAAGCCCTCACACTTGAAGAGTGGAAGAAGTAGGTAACACTAGCTAGCACGTCTAACTCATAAAAGCAACTCCAATCCATACAAATCTATTGAGCACTAGGGGAGCCTGACTCCTTCCCAGGCCTAAATTGACTGGCCCAACTTCTGGTTATGTGACATCACGCTAACATCAGCTACTATTAAGAAATTATAATAAAAAAATTAAAAAGAAAAAAAGAAAAAAACATTAAAAAATTATACAAATTAATTAAAAATACAATTTTTTTTTTAAATTTATAAATGCCTAATCATGTTCTTCCACTTTACCACATTTCAATATTTTCAAATACTTTCAATGAATATTTTATTATTATCTAAATTAAAATCAGTTTAACGGTAAAGATGCATTTAGACAGTTACTGTTCATTAAAGACAATTCTTGCTCACTTAGGGAATTTAATTGCCTATAGCCCAATGGGACTTTTAGGAGTGGAATTTCTCCAAGGTTGTTGCACTGCTGACACTATGAAAAGGGGCTTGCTTCATCGTGCTCACAGAAAATTAAGGAATTCTACATGACTTTTTAAGAATATTGGGTTAGTACTTTCCGTTTCCAATTAGTTTTGATGATAGTGTCTTTGTCCTTTTAATAAATCCATCCTCGTGCTAATATTATGTTTGGCGCGAATGTATGCTTTCACAGAAATGGTACGAGACGTAGCTCCTCCTAGTATTTAGAAAGTGAACCAATAAGGCAATAATTTAACATCAACTTTGAGCACCAACATAGCTGGAAATCACAGAGCTTGAATCGTAATAAGTTGCATTTGATTGAAAAGTACGTGCTGCATGTTCTAGCAGCTTATTCGATCGGCCACGGTGATAAGCTGCGGTCCGCTACCGGCCGGTTCTCCATTTCATTGATAAAATAATAGGTATGTTCCGTCTTCAAGGTTTTGGTTGCTTTGATTGAACTAACTAAAAGTGAATAAGCTAATTCGTTCTGTAAATATATATCAAGTTTTTAAAAGACGTTAGACGCTAGGCGGAAGGTGAGCTGGGGTCTAGCCGCCTAGGCGGATTTTTAATTCTTATACATGACATATATAAATATCTAGTTATACTTAAAAATTATATAATTGTATTGGAATACATAAATTGCAAAGTAAAATGACATATCGATTATAAAGTATTAGAAAATACTGAAAACATGGGGAAGAAGCACATAATGAGTGTTCATCAAAAGTATTTAACAAGTCTCTTACAATTTATTGAAAAGATAAAAACAAAATGAAAATAATCAAGGTTTTGTTTAAGTTAGTGTCACGACCTAGGTGAGTTTAGGCGCAATTTCTTAATTTTCAAATGCTTGGAGATCAAACAGGGCAATGGCCAGCTGCCTAGTGCCTAAGCGGGATTTTTAAAACAGTGGTAAATATGTATCTCTTTTTTTTCGATTGTGGAAGTTACCTTGTTCATCGATGTATATTCTTTTTCATACAAGTTGGGATTTTTAAGTTGTGTGTGATCTTTGTGTTCTGGTCGAATTTTTAACTTGAAAATTTGTGTTTTCAATCGTCAATTTAATCCTTGTGTTTTAGTGTTCGTATTTATTATTTTGATTGTTTTGCCCAATTCAGTAATATTAATGTGCTTACGTGCCGCATACGTATGAGCACAATTTAGAATAAATAACATTGATTTAGGCAAAAACGATTATGTTTATGCATCCTGATGCACATTTATCCACATCGATTCTCTCCTAATTATTAACTATTTAACCCATTTATATTATTATTCTACTAGTTAGGCAAAAGAAATCAAGATTACCAATAAGAGTGACGCAATGACCAAATTTGCCAAATTTTTAACATGAAGACCAAAATGAAAACCAAGGACCGGGAAAAGATTTTTTTTACCTCAAATTGTATGGGTAGGATCCACACCCTAAACAGGATTCTTAATTCCACTTTAGAAAGAAAAAGCAAAAGTAAAGAAAACAAATCATTACGATGTTTCATTTTCACCTATTAACTTTTCAACTAAGAATTTTAAAACTTCAATAAAAAATTCTGTCGAGCTCCTGATTTTTCATTTTTATGTATTAAGTTTTCACGCAATAATTCAGATATGTCCTAATTTCTAATAAGCTTTTCACTTCTAGTTTGAATGAAAGTCTAGTTCCTTTTTTTTTTATTTTTTTTTATTTTTTTATGTTGCCATGCATTATTCGAAAATGTACGATGATTTAGGATTTGAAACCCTCCAACGTACTGAAGAAAGCGTACACTACTTTTATTTATTTATTCTGCAGCTGATCTATCCAGGAATTAGAATTTGACTAAATCCACATCATTAATCACCAAATTCAAAATGTACACAGCACTCATCTAAATTTGGGCTGTGCATATATTTTGATTTCGTGCTTGTGATGAAGACTGTGATAACTAGTTAATTAAGATCAGGTGCATAGATGAAATCAATTATTACAAATTGACCGTTGATTCGAACATCGTATTAATCATGCATGCATGCAGTACTGACTCAGTTTTATGCCATGCTCCTAAGTAGCTTTTAAATATAGTGATACACATATATTTAAACAAATGAAAAGCACGTACATACGGTCTTGATTCGATCTCTCGACACAAATAATAAATCATGTTTATAGATTTTATTACGAGATCGAACATATGGTAATTATACATATTGCGTGAGGGATCGTACGGGTATTGGAAACTTCTTGATTATTCCTCCTTGTGATCAAGAGTTGATCCGTTCGAGCTTGAAACGTTCTTGAACCGAGGAAATATAGCTGGCAGCCTTCATATCGACACTCTCGTCACCTGCGCCGTAGTGATCAAACTGCTGCTTAATGAGGCTGTTTTTGGTATGATGATCTGTAGCGTCTGACGGAACAATAAATGAAACCTTCTGCTTAGGCTGAGCTGCTGCAATCACATAATCCTGGCCGTGGACCATAAACCCAGAGTAAGCTGGCGAAGGAGTGGCCTGGCTCGGCTTAACCTTGCTGCTGGCCATGGCCATGCTACTATATTGCATACTTGTTGTCGAATTAGGTTTTGCAGCTCGGTAGAACGGCATCAACTTGCCCTTCATGAAACCTCTGCGTTTGCGATTCGACTCCATTAGTCGTATTCTGACTCCTTCTTGTTGCAATGTAGCTCTATCAAATGTGTTAGAGAAAGTATCTATGTTGTAGTGCAACGACTGAGGGGTCTTTATATATAACATTTTTGGGTGGGGTAAACATTGTTTTTCCTTTTTATGTTGGAAAAAGTTGCTGATCAAGTTGAAATTAGTGCAGATAGACATGATCGATCAGGTAGTATATATCGTGGTCCTTCTACTAAATATCTGGAAGAATCATCTTTAATATGTAATTGTTCCATTCCTTCCGATGTATGGATCAATACTAATCAGTTAACAAATACTTTATAAGATATGAGAATTTTCTCTTTAATTATAGTCAAATATCAAAGAGACGGAGTAATAGTCCAACACAATATCATCCACAACTTATCCACATGCTAGCTCAGTCGAAATTGGGTTTTATCATAAAACTTCCCGGTACAATTAGAATAACACCATGTATTATCTATTGCAATTTGTATTGTCAACTTTCCAACGTCAGATTAATTTCAACAATTATACTTCTAGAGCCAATAATTATTGTTTGATTAATTGTATCCTTCACATTGGTTGGGGAGTTTAGGCAGCTTGGCAAGAGTTAGGCTGCACAGTAATAAACTAATAAGTAAGCGTTAGAATATATAAAGATAACAGAATCAGTTAAAAACTAATTAATCAAGAACTTATAGAGAGAGGCCACATATTGTCCTACATTTAAATGTGCCATTTTAGAGAATTAAGCAAGAATTATATGCTTCTCCCACTAGCTAACTTATTGCTATTAGCAGGACCGGCCCAGGCCCATTGCAGGCAGGGCGACCGTCCAGGACCCAAAAAAATTAGGGGCACCAAAATTATTCAGTTTATATATGTTTTATAAGAGTATAAATTTTAAAAAGGTTGGTTTAATGACAAAAGAATTTAACTATAAGTAGTGGTTTTGTAATTTGAAATTAATGAGAAGGTCTTGGGTTCAAGACACCACGTGTGTTTATTTACTTTTCAATTTTTACAATTTTTTTTTCATAAGAGTATAAATTTATAAAGTTTGGTTAAATACTCAAGAAGTTTAATTAAAAGCAATGATTTTTGTTGTTTAAAATTAACGAGAGGTCCTAAGTTTGAAATGCTATGTGCGTGTTTATTCTTTTCAATTTTAACAAATTTTTGTTTGGTTGTTAATTTATTTTTAGTTACTAGCTAGTAGCTATATGGGTTGCTATTTTTAAATATTCATTCAAATTCAAGTCTAATATTCAACAAACAGTAATGCGTAGACCAAATTTTTAGAGCAAATTTACAAATCATATGACATGTCATTATAAGGTTTAATTTAGTGCCCATTCATTACTTATACATATCAATTAAAGACTCGAAAACATTATTATTTTTTTAGTCCCATATTGACAAGGTTAGTAAATAAGAAAAAACATCTCACGATTTATACAAAAACACTTTAAAAGTTAAGATGAAAAACAAAACTCATTTATCTACTTGGAAGCCAAGAGTTTTTTGGTTTCCTTCTCTTGATACAAAATAAATTAGTATTTCTGTGTTTCAAAATTATTGAGTTCGAAATGTTTTTCTAAATATAATTTTATCGATGTCATTTATGTGAAAATAAATATTTTTCTTATGTGAAGTTAAGGCATATTTTTTAGCGTCGCCTCGGGCCTCAAAAATCTCTAGACCGGCTCTGGCTATTAGTCCATGTAAGGACATGTTTTTGATAGTGTATTAATTAGATGATTAATTTGCATATCCTGATGATTCACCAAGTTTTAAAAAGAAGTATTTTAATCAACTTTTCGTTGCTTGATCCATGAGGATAACCACATAGATTATACGTACGTCTCCAAAAAGAATAAGTGCTCGAAAGAATAATGATCGATCGTGCATGTGTTGCAGATCAATTTTCAAGAAACTGACCATGGAAAATATCGTGCAACCGATCGTCCTCGTCATCACAGATTTACGGAGAGAATATATGTATATTAGTATATAGTGGTAGCTAGCAGGCACTAGACAGTATCTCATGCTTCTTGTTTGTGTACTTGGGTCGTGGCATATGGTGCTAGAGAAGTGAAGAGCAAGCATAATTTCATGAAAAAGAAAAGGGAAAAAAAAACCTAAGCTGTCAAACTTGCAGGGGGCATATATTTGGTGGGATAAGAACGGTGTCTTTTTCAAAGTACTCTAGCACCTCGATCTATCCACTTTCATCAGATATATGATGAGATTCAGATTTCTTTGCTTTTCATATAGCAAATAGAGAGAATTAAAACTCAGACACATGATACACACACACGATCTTAATAATACGTACTGAAGTATGAAGATAAATAAAAGGAAAACTAATGAAAAGGGTATGAAAACTTTGAGTTCTAACAATAAAGACAAAATAAAAGGTAAAGTGAATTGTACTAGGATTGACTTTTTAGTGTAAAAATATGATTTTTCGTTAAAGTGAACTAGGAGTTTTTTTTCTTAAAATTCCCAAATATAAATTGTATATATACGAGCCCTTACTTAGCAAGAATTTCGTTCTACTGTAGCAAAATAAGAATAAAGATATGAGCATTGTAGTAAAGACCATGTATTCACCATATATGTACAAAAAGATATACTATCTCTATATACAGTGGCGAAGCCACACTAAGACCCCTACGTCCTCCCCCAACCCACACTAGATCCTGATTCCGCCCATTCCTATTAGTTGTATTTTGGAGGTTAATGAAATAGAAAGAGGAGAATCTGATCTTATGATGTATACTTTAGGATATGATGGATCAAGCTGTGGTTAAGGTACTTGTAAAATGGGGATGCTTTGCTTTACTCAGACATGTGCTCTCTATGATAAAAGCTTCCACATTTCTCAACTTTTAATTTCGCGGATAAGATATTCTATTTCGACCTGATTGAAAAGTCTCCTATTCCTTTCCCTCTCTATATACAAGTTGATTTATCAGTGCTTGCTGGAATTCTTGTATATTTTCCATGTTTGCTTTGTTTTGCTATCTTCTCTTCTTCTTCCAAAAAGAAAAATTACGTACTAATAATGTAAGGCCTTCCTCCCTCCCAGTCTTTGACTCTTACTATGTTCTCGTTTCGAATTTTAAAATTTTTTATGCGTAAAGTGATCAAATATATTCAGGAACTGATAAATTGGTGTAATTGCGTTGCATCCACAACTTTTGTGTTCGTGGGTTTTCAAAGCGGTGATGAGAGACTTTGAACTTGGGTTACAGCAAGTTGAAGAAAAATACTGTATCCATCATATTAATTCACCACTTACAGTATTTTTACAGTAGTTGTCTCAAAATTCGAAGCCGATTGTAACAAAAAACAAATTTCTAAAGAAATTGAACCAAAATTTATAAATTAAGCTAATTTATGAGTGATTACCTTAACATGACAACAGATATTTCTTTTGCACTTTTTGGAATTCTCGATCGTTAAGGAATTCAACTGTCCCAATTCAAAGGCCATAACAACGTGAAATGTCCCCAAGATAGGATCTCATATTAATTTACTCAAAATCTTCTATATTAGCATGGAAGCGAGAAAAAACTTGATTAGGGGTGTCCACCAACCACGATGTTATTCAAAATGCACCTTTCTCAAAGCATGAAAACCATATAATATCATTTTTACTGGACTCACAATGGCCTTACCAATGTTTGTGTTTGGATCAAAACTTGAACTTTGGGCTCAAGAAAGGAGTTGGCCCAAAAGGAGGCCCGAAAGGGAAGATAGCCGAAGCCCAGTCGAAGCCCAGAAGGCAGGAGAAGGCCTTTTCTGACTTGATGCAGCTCATGAAGACCACTTGCTTACCTACCCAAAGGCCAAGTGGTGTAGGCTGGTCAGCTACACAGCCCATAAAGTACTTTATGGTGGCATTACATGTAAAATAGCTGATGAGTCATCACCCTCAAACCGCATTCGGGCAAAGCTGCTGCTACCAAAGGCCAAGCCGAGTTGTCTATATAAGAAGAAAGAAAATCAAGGATTAAGGACACTCAATCAAACAAACAAATGCAAGCACAAACTCTGCTCAAAGCCAGATTTGCCTTCAAAACAAAGCTGTAGTCAGCCTTCATCCCTTTCGGGATAAACCTCTATCCCTTTCGGGATAACCCTCTCTTCAACCTTTTGTAATAGCTCTGCTACCTTGTTCAACCTCGCTGTAGTATCGATTCATCTTTTGTAATCTCTCTCTCTCTACCCCTCTAAGCTTTCAGACCTTTGACAAAACTACAAAGATAGGGACCTGCAAGACGAGCAACCTTACCCGATAAGGTTTAACCTTGCCCGACCTTCTTTGCTTTAGTTTTGTCTTTTCAATATGTTGTATACTTCCAGTTATATGCAAGTTATTTCTAGCAACATGATTATTAAGAGGCTTTCTCAGTACTTGAATCCGATTTGAATATATCGTCAGTGTTCAAACCAGATCCAAGTTCTAAGCCCTCGGGCATGTAAATCTGATCAGTTAAAAGTCCTTGGCCTCAAGGCATAAAAAAGAACCTTATGTGGACTTAACCCATCCACGACAGTCCTTGATAAACGAGAAGTCCGAAGTTAATTGGGGCGCAAGTAATCAACCTACCTTCTAGTTTTCTTTCTATTATGCCATGATTATCATAGAACGCTTGAGCATGGATGGATTCTAATGGAAAGCCTCAAGGCCTACACCTAAGGCCCCACAAAGGCATCCATTTGGATTCATTCCATTCAGCGACCTAAAGAGTCTAATTATAAGAATGAACTCTGATGGGAAGCCTCAAGGCCTACACCTAAGGCCCCACAAAGGCACATATTTGGGTTCATCCTACTTCTTGGATTCGGGTAATCAGAAGTATAATAGTTAGAAAACTCCTACAATCACGAGAATGAATATGATGCGTTCGAGCACTGGTTTAGTTATTTATGGGAAGCCTCAAGGCCTACACCTAAGGCCCCACAAAGGCACTTGTTATAACTAACACGGTTTCTTGGATACATACATACATACAACTAAAGCATGACTGCTATTTTACATCTGCCATGCTAAAGATGGCAGTGAC